CAAGAAGCAAGCCTTTGCATTTGCATAGAATATCAGGTATCTGCCAAAACTACTGAGGAAGATGTCGTGAGTCACGCCGTGTTCGGAGCTCATGATGCTGCTAGGATGAGCGCGAGATACAATGATGGCACGCGAGAATTTTGCTTGTACATCTTGTTCCCTTTATCAGTACAGTGGTTTTTGAATTTGGTGTCGCATCTTGTCATCATCCCTCAACTCAACTATATAGTTACCTTTATATATAATATCTTCAGTGGGGACTCAAACAGCAAAACTCTGCCAAGCTTCAAGTCTTCATTCTCAACTTCGAGCCCTGCAGCGCTTGGAGAAGCCAATGGTGGTCGGATGCTTTGTGGGCAAAGCCGGAGCCAGCGACCCTGGTCTTTGAGTCGAAATGGGCAAAGCATCAAGGTGCACATGAAGTACGTAATATGAATCCAAATGACTGAAGTTCCCTGAAAGGAGCACTACGGCCACCACGGCTGGCTGCCACTTGGTGGACACTATCTGCATGTTGTACATACATATCATTGGCATACACACAACGTACAAACCATAATTAGCCGAACAGTTACCTTTTTCGGATTGGTCTCTGAGGTTTTATATGGCTTTATCAGCAGTTGTCTAATCTTCATGCTTCACAAAGGATCTATGCCATCATCTATGTAGTGCTCTCGAAGGCATGTCATGTTGAAAGCCCCGTCCTCGGGAACTGCAAGGAACCGCATGCCAAATCTCAAGAAGCCAGTGGCCATATATTCTTTGCCTGGCCCCTCAGGAAATCTGTTCCTCTATGTTCCTCTCAATGCTCTGAAGATCTTGTCTGTTGATTTTGATTGCTTGTTCTTTTGCTCTGTCAGAATGATGCCCCACGGCCCATTCAACCTGCTGAAGCACCAAGGCACCTTTCTCAACAGAGCTTGTTGACTCGCAACAGCATACCTGACTTAGCTGCTGACAAGCCGAGCCGACAAAGCCACCAGTGTTGACATGACAGGATAGCACTGGACAGCCCCAAAGCACTGCAACTGTGTTGCGTTCGCTCCATTCCTTAAGGGCAAGCTCTGGTGGCTGCGGGCATCACCACCACATTATGAAACCCACATCCAGCGCAAACACCACTGTTGTCATCGTCGGGGGGCCAACACCCTCAGCCACTCTGAGCATTTTGCCGTATCATCCTGCACAAGTATTATCTCAAAGTGACTGAAGAACATCCCTGCCAAATCAGAGGATGTGAGCGCAACTCCACCAATGAACTAGGTCTGAAAGCACGGAGCTGGAAAGCAAACCAGGCTCGACACAACGGGTTCCTCTTTCCACCAAGGATCCTTTGGCAGTGCCCAGAAGCCTTGGCGCGGTGAAGCTCAGGAGGTCCATGGCTTCGGACATCGTGCGATCGCGTGCGATGGTGACGTGTGCCCTTCGCTCGACTCTAGCTGGAGCCTAGAAAGGCACAAACTGTTACCTAGGAGTCTAGGAGTCTTACTTGTAGAAAGGACCACCTATATAGGTGGCCTTCTTGTTACCCAGGTGGTAAAGGTACAAAAAGAAAACCACATTGTAACCTCCGGAGTCCCGCGGGCCACGGTCGAACCGAACTCTTGAGCCATCGGAAAGGCATTGCAATACAACGACTACGAAAACACCCTCCTCAAAAACATCTCCAAAAAGAGCAATTCAGTTCCGGAGCAACAAGCACCAAATCTACAGCATCACACAAAGGCAAGTGGCGTTGAGCAAATATGATGATAAATGGGTGTAGGTTGAGTGAATCGGATAATAGCGGGACTGTTTCAACACTTCAACTGGGCAAAGGCGTTCAGAAGGACATTTCGCTGTTTTAAATGTGAATAGAAAAACTTATATATTTTGGGGGGGCGAGTGTGGGGGTTGCTTATTTCGGCTTTCGCTCCCCCATCACTTGCCCACCTTTCTCCTTCTTCTCTTTTTCCTTCTCCTTTTCATTCTACTATCTATATGTTGAAAATACGGCATTGATTCATTTCAATCTAAACACCTTTCATATATAAAAAGAACAGGAAAACACCTCGTCCGTGTGGTCGTAGCATGTCGTAGCAACACTTGATGGTATTGATGTCCTACCTTCAGTCAAGCAGGATGCTTGATAGATTCTTAAGGGTTGGATGGCTCAAAAAAACAGTGATTAAACAAATGTTTCAACGAGAGATTTGGTATACTCAGTTTATCATTTGAAGGGGGGATGAAGCATCGCCAGTTTTCAGCATTCAGCCAATATTTTGAAAAACAAAACAACAACACGGACGAACCGCCCCTCATGAAGTTGTTGATGACCCGGTCTTCTAACCTCGGTGGGCGCGGTTGTGCAAAGACGCAGGGAATTTAGGGGTAACGAGGGGGACAAACCATGAACAATCAACGTCATTCAACATCAAACCAAACCTAAGGCATCCTATGGCATAAGTGACATAACCTTGCACGAACTGGCTTGTTCCATCTCTCATGCAACCATTCATAGGCGACTTCTTCACAAGTCGTCCTGTTTCACAATTCATATCGACTCTCCCTTGACATACTTGTTCGGAAGCCATTTTTTCACGAGGTTTCTCAAGTCTCAAACCACTCTCCGGTTGCTGCTCGTGCGATGTTTTGAGTCGAGAGTTGGGCCGCAATTGGCATGCCCTTAATGCCATCGAAATGAGCCAGCCACTTGAAGCAGCGAAGGTGATGACCATGGCACAGGCGGACAAGGATGGTTGCAATGACGCCGAGGTGCCTGCCTCTGGTGATGTCGATGTCGTGGAAATGCGCGTGCCTGCTTCTGGGGATGATATCAAGGCCATGGCGCGGAGACAATTGACCTGGGTACTGAAGTAACAGTAGGCCGGTTTCTTGGCATAGTCCGGAAAATCCCTGCAGGGTAAAAGATCCCATCTGCCCATGATCCTGTGCAGTTGCCAGCTGGGTAAACTGACATCTTGATGTTTGATGATGTTTGTGGAGTTGCACACGTGCATGATGGACGATTCATTCCCGTGCCCAAAGCATAGGTCTAACGGGAATGGGTGTGTTGCAAAGCTATAAACCCGAACCGTACAGCTGTCCAGTGTCGCCACCCGCATTGACCTCGATGAGTTCAACATGTGCGTTTGCTCAACAGATTCAGCGCAGCACTTCGGTATGCTATGATCGAGTAGTAGTACTTCTTGGATGGCATGCACATCAATCTCCAGTGTGTACCCCATCACCATTGAAGTCCATTCCAAGGCAACCACCAATAGGCAAGCGGCAACCAGTCGCTTGCAAAGAGCCGGTCGCTGTGACCACTATTGGTAGAGTTGTCTTGGCATGGACCATTGCCAAAACAACTGTACTGCGCAATGCCATGCCACAACACAAAAAAAAAATCTAGAAAGACGAGAATTTGGAACTTCACTTCGAATCTCGCTTGAGCCAAAGTATGAAACGGGATGAAACGGGAACCCCAAGGGCGCCAAGGACCTATTTGGGCTTAAGGGACTGGAGAGGCGAGATACCTTCCCTGGTTGTCCAAGAGCTGCCGAAGGTGCCCTGGGCGTGGAGAAGCGTGTTTATCTCTGACTTGAAGCCATTCCCCCATCACCCATCTGGGTGCCCGGACAAAAACAGCTGGAGGTCATTGAAAAACAGGAAGCACGCGGCGAAGGCACGACGATGTCCCAACATCATGGGTAAAACGAAACGAGAGCCAACAAACGACAAGGTGCAGGCATTTAGCAAGTGAAACGCACAATTCTCAGTGGATACCAATATATTATTCAATATATGTAATCAAAGTCTTGAGCCTGAGCCAATGCGTGGCCTGCCATCCGTATGGCCCAAAATACTGTTTGTGTGAATAATGCAAGCTGTATTGAAAACGTGACCGAATTTCTTAAAAAAAAACAATAAATTAACCAAGACAACAATTACCATCAAAAATCGATTCGTTCAACCAAGTGTTGACAATATGGAAAGTTGGAACCCTGTGAGCTGCAGGCGGCCAAGGGCCCCTCCGCTGGTCCGAACTCACGTATCTTCAGCGGACCATACCTGGGGCCGTCTAAAAGGAGACTTTGCAGGATTAAACCTGCAAAGACAAACTGTGTACCAGGGACTCCTGGTGGGTGCTTAACCCGCTTAACTAACTCAAAAGTGTGACCCCTGAAGCTCTCATTCCCGAGGCCACAACTCTGTTTCCAAGGCTTCCCAGGGCCTCAAGACACGATTCAACACGAGGGAGCAACAGTTGTGGCAAATCCGGGGAAATCGGGGCATGTTCGAATTTTTGCACTTTACAGAATCTGACTTTTGACGTGTTTCGCTGAAATAAATCGATCGATCTCTCTGAGAACCTAGCGGTGGTGGGTCGTTGGCAACAGCAGGTGCCAAACTACACATCACCTTCAGGCACTGGGGGCTGTCAATTACCGCTCAAATGCAAACAAAATTAAAGGATCTTCCAGGCAAACCCTGTCTCACCAAAGTAGCGTCAACCCACAAGGCCCTTCACAAGGCGCATTGTAGCTATGGTGTCTGAGGTGGGTACAACAGCTGACAGCAGTCGTGGCAGTCGCAGCTTGGCAACCATGAAGCCAAATGATGTTTGTTTCGATCAAGTCGATCAAGTCAGTGATTTGTTGGTCATTCGGGGGAGATGTGACCCCTTTCAGCCGCTTATATAGTGGCTTAGTGTCCATCCAACAGCTAATCTGCTACAGGTTCGGGTAGGCCGAATCACGTCTATTCATCTGCTTGGATTGTGCCCTTGTGCCTGCTTGAATTGTCTTAGCGTAAGCAACTGCTCACCATGTTCTTCAATGCGGCATGGGCAGCTTGCGGAATCTGAACAGAAATCTTTCTATTGTGTCTCAAACTGCGACTTGTGCGTGGAGTCTCACAGATTTGGAAGCTTCGGCGCAGGCAAAGTCCACTGTGTTTCTCCACCACGCTCGGATACAGAAGTCCCGGGAAGTCCCCGGCGACTGAACACCAGTGGCCTGAGCTGGACGGCGGTGCACCACCTGGGAAACAACTTGTGAGTGAAGCTGTTTGACGCGCACCGTCACCAAGAAGCTCCTACTGAGATGCCGAAAACATCCAAAATTCTGGAAAGCATCTGCAGCCTCCAGTGGCCCCTCGAGTGTTTCCATCTTCCTTCGCCTCAAAAGTGGCTTTTCAGCTTGCGCCCGCTTGAAAGGATAGGTGACAGGCCGTCTTGCGGGGCGGTGGTGGGGGTGGCACCTGGGCTTCTCCAAACATGTCTAAACTGTTCTGCTCTGGCCAATTCATGGCTTGGCTTCGACTGATCTTGACAACCTAAGCGTGGCACTGTGAAGACGCGTTTTGGCAGCCTCAGAGTTATATATGTATATATACATATGATTCATAATTACAGTAAATATGTGCGTATGTGCGCGCAAACAATTCTGCCTTGCGACTTCAAGTCGCTCACTATGGAGGGAACGAGAGGAACAATGTAGTAAAATATGCAAACGTATTGTAATTATATAACATATCATTATCAAACAAACAAGCCTTATCAAGCCTTCTCATTCCACATCAAATTGTTGGCTGTAACACTGGGCGTCCACAAAAGGAAGAACTTACGATCGACATTGAGTCGTCTGCGGCGGTGCTTTCGCAGTACTCGCCGCTCGTGCGGCATCCGCAGCAGGGGATCGGAAAGGGCCTAGACCTGAGGAGCAGATAAACCTTCAAAGGCCTTTCACTAGCCTCCTCATTCCAAAACATCAAACAGGAAGCACAAAACAACCCACGAAGCACCAGCACCTGGCGGTTTGGCACCTCTAACTCCATGCAGGAAGTCCCAGTCCACGCTGCCTGGTTCTCCGGCCCACCCAGCGATGATATTGACACTCAAGCAAGCTTTTACCCCATGCACACAAGCATCATGCATCATGAAGCATAATGCATCATGAAGATTCAAAAATTATCCACCCACAGTTGTTCAAATTCTCAGTGGCTTTGATGCGGTATATAGTCGTGTTGAACCACGTTGTACCTCAAAACCCCTATCCAGCCAATCGCTCAATGAGTTGCTGCTCCATATCATCAGGCACGTGCAATTTGCTGTCATAACGCATCGAAGCACATCTTTATGACTCAATCCCTGACCCTCAGCCTTCACTCTCGCTGGACTCCAGGTCCTCATCGCTATCAAATAGCCTCAGCGTGTTGAACATGTGTCCAAATCCAATCGAGCGCCTTGTCATGTTTTTGCACCACAATGAGCGTGCGGCAAGTCATCAAAGTCGTGTGTAGCACCTGAGACCGGATCTACATGGATGGAGAAACATTCGCTGGCTAGAACCCAAAGTCATGAGGGAAATCAAAGACAAGTGTTGATATCTTAAGCGAATTACAGTATACTGTATGTGGCTGTTGTTCTAATCTCTTGTCCATGTTCTGGATGGCTATAGCATTTGGCAGCCTTCCAGACTTGCAAGAGTTTCTTCGGAATGCCCGCATCTCTTCGCCCAAAAATCCGTTTCCATTCCGGTGAAGCTGGCTGTTCTTATGTCCAGCCTGTCCAGAGATGTGCTTGACAGCTGGGTCTCCAAAAATGAGGACGCACACCACCTGTAGACCACATGGAGACTGAAGACAATGACATGAAGACTCATTGGATACCCATGAACCATCATGAACCAACATGAACCAGTCCAACCTACAAGATCTCACCATGTTTCTTTCCCACAGTAGCAATTCTTGTGGACTCAACAAGCAAAGCTGTAGTGGCCACACAAGTGTGCTGATACATTTGCAGTTTTGCCTGTTTTAGAGGAAAACATGGCTTGTGACTGGCCTGTTGTCCCAACCCTGCCTAAGCCTCTCATGACAGGTTGGCGACTTCCACCTGCTCCGCTACAGGAAGGAGCTCAAAGAGACCCTGTGTGCGGCGTTTATACAGATCAATTGCAAAGCGGAAGCTGTGGAGGAAGCCTGGACACAGCCTGGCCTCCACGAGTCGTTTGCTGGGTGCATACAGTACTACCCTCCGATGGAGGCCGAGCATGTTCCAACATCTTATCCAAACCTGTTATTCAAAGGTGGTTCCAGCCATCATCTTAGCATCTCCAAACCCTAGCCTGAATTTTTAGCGTGCTGAGCCCTCATGGCATCCAGCTGCTTGAGTGTGGCCCGGGCCTCAAATGCATTCCTTTGAAAGGCTGTGCACAACATGAAGAAGCATTGCTAGCATGTTTACCAATCAAGCGGGCCATCTGTGGGCCTGTCCGTGCGCCCACTCTCAGCCCGTGGCATGCAGCAACAAATCATCCAGCGCGTCACTCATTTCCTTAGGCTAAAGGGAATAGCAGTCCTGATTGCACAAAGGTTCGGTCACCAGCAGCTTGTCACAGTGCCGTCAAAAGTACGGCCTGGACATGTGAACATCGCAATTGAACTACATGTGCATGGACTGTTGTGTTTGTTGCAAGGCCACTCTTGCAGGAAAAAAGAAAAAGGATGGGCTCTGATGATCTGAGGACATCCCTCAACCCGTGCTTTGACAAGTACTTACCTCTCGAAGGCATCGCAAAGCTGGGTCCCATGCAGTAGTTGAGAAACTCTTTGACACAGGAGGCCTTGGTTGGGCACAAAGGCAACGCTTAAAACGTGTCAATAGTCAATAGGCCGCCAATAGGTGTCAATAGAGCTTGTCACGAAACCAAACATTTTGCCTTTAGATGGTTGGCCTGCACCCATGACAGCTTCCCATGGACTGCTTTTGCATCCACCTTTGTTTTGCGTTTTAATCCGCTGCACGTTCTCTGAGCTGCAGGCACTTTTCGACGTTCACTGGCGGGGCTTGGACCTTAAGAAACACATCAGCAAATGCCGGGCTGGAAACGGTTTAACATGAAGTACCAAGAGGTGCTAGTTGGGCAACGGTTGCTGAAACGCAGCACCAAGGAATATAGCACATGCCCAAACATCCATATATATATAACCCATGCTTTGCAATGAACAGTGGATTGCCGTCCATCACACCAGGGAAGATGCAGAGTCGAAAAAAATAACAAAAACAAAAAAAACAAGAAGTTCCAGGGCAGCTCGATTCTGGGACTCTACCTGTCCGCATCATCGCTATCTGGTGACTTGGCTTATTAATCATCGATTTTAGTGCCGATCCTGTACGGCAAAGCCACTGACAACGCTTCATGCTCGGGCAGCTCTTAGTTCCATGCCCTTGCTGCTGCTGACGTTCGGACCTTAGGTTGTAATTTGGCAAGGTCTGTAACATCACTGATAGCAAGAAAACGGCCTCCAGGCACACCACCGAAGCGCAGCCTGGCCCCTCCATGTTTAGCAAACCTGGGAGACAGCAAAAAGCAAGCTGTAGCCTCGAAGTCACGCGACCAGGTGCTTATCTTGGCGATCCATAATTAGATATGTACACATTCTTATTTGAGCCCCCTGGGCTGGGACCTTTTCAGGAGGAAAAGATCTTAAATATGTGCCACAGTAAGTATGTGTGTAGTGTATGTCAACGAACAATCAAATAACAAACACGCGTTATACAGTTTGTGAGAGTGCTATCAAGTTGTGCAAAAGGTTGTTTGAAAGCTGTGGGCTTTGCACCGGTTCCATGCTTAGTCCTTCCAACTCATACCCAAATTAGACCAGCATAGAACCCAAACACTTTAACCAGCTTGGGTCTAAATATACCGATACATCATACAGATACATGTTTCTCAAGAAAGACCCCCTAAACAACACGCCGCTTGCGGAAAAACACATGACTAAACATATACATACACAAAGTTGATGCTTGGACATGAGCCCTCTACCACCCTTAAACCAGAAAGGAAAATAGCTGTTCTTTCACATGAGCGAAACAGCTGCTTGTAAAATGCAAGGAGAGCTAGCACCAATATGAGACCCATATTGATCATAGTAGAGTTTGTCCTCCAACTTCTTGCTTTGGATTCCCAGGGGGTTTGCATATTGCAAAGCGAGCTCTACTGTCATATTGAGGATGCTTCGCAGTCATCAATACAGTATGTAGAAACCATGTCCCAAAATTGCACTGTTGCGCTCGTTGCTTGTAGCAGGATTTGTTCTTTCAGTTCAGAAATTTGGAAAACAACTTGCTCTGGGAGCGTAGAGAGCCTGCGGGCATGTTCGCAACATTTCAGCCGTCTGTTTTACGCCTAACAATTCTTGCTCGAAAACCCATCTCCAAGCTCCCAAGAACAGGTCGCGATCAAGAGAGGTGCTTGGACTACCCTTCTCCTGCAAAAATCACTGATGTGGTCTCGTAAAGTCATCGAGTCGTAACAGCAGCTTCAAGTGGATTCGCGAAGAAGGAGGTAAAGCAACCACGTTCACTCCGCAAACCATCTGATCATTCTGGCGTAACCTTTCGAATACTGGTAATTTCTTAGAAGAACGCGGCCACAAAATTATGCTACTCGTTGCTCTGAATAATATATACTGTATATATATATATAACTCCGCTACTGACATCAATCCAACGAACACCAAACTACAGGTTTGCATCCTATCTGAGAAAACATTGATTTATGATTTATGTAGTCAGTCCGGAGATTAGATGGACCTGAGAAATTAGTATTAGAATGTATTAGAACCCTATGATAACCTATGAGGTTCGTGTAAAGTTTCATTGGTTGGGATTGCTCTATTTGTTTTTAAGGTCTCTTCACGTGTGATTCTTTTGTATTGGATTCATTGAACTCTTGCCTCAGGTACAAAGGGTGTGAGTTCTTTATCTTGATGTTCGTTAATTTAATGTAAAGGCATGTATTTGAGCCTAGGTTGCTTTCAAACATTTACTGCTGAGTTAAACACGTGTGCCATGCGCTGCATGTATGACACCTGCCCCCCCTGATGGTTACACATTGGTTTAAGTTCCCAGAATCTTGGCACCGGGGGCATACAGTATCATGGAAGGTAGCACTAACTCTGTGTCAAGAGTACAGTGTCAATGACAGAAAATTACAAAACTCTCAAACCTGGGCTCTGGCCAGCTACCTCTGTGTAAATCCACAGGGGGCCGCCCCGTCATGGCCACCGCCTGCAACCAAAGCCACGCAAAAGGCCATAAGTAAAGGCTGTGATCCACTGCTGTGGTCAATGCTGCACTTCCCCTCAAACATGTGCAGCTATGAAGTGTTCAGTGCTTGGCCTGGCTCGGCAGGGGCCATATCCTGAATGTTAGCAGGTAAGAGGTCATCTGTCAAGTGAGCAAGTGCGTAGTTAGTTATATTGTTAGATAGTGATATTTAGTGATATCCGTACACACACAAAATTATACAAGCATAGACCCCAAGCAGCTTCAAAACGACTCGTTTAGACCAATATTAATCAAAAATCGATTTCTTGGTACGCCCTACCTTCACCCCAAGAGCAACCTGCTTCATCAATGAATTTTCGTCGGCATTGACATCGCTATTTGTTCGGCCTCACTCCGCTCCAGTAAACCGGGCCACAGAGACCAGCCACAGAGTTCAGGGGTGCGGCCAAGACAAGGACAAGAGGAGGACAAGACCCGGACACAGAGCCCAGCCACAGAGTTCAGGGGCGCCGCCAAGACAAGGACAACAGGAGGACAAGGCCTGGACACAGAGCCCAGCCACAGAGTTCAGGGGCGCGGCCAAGAGGAGGAACACAGAGCCCAGCCACAGAGGACAAGAGGAGGACAAGGCCTGGACACAGAGCCCAGCCGCAGAGTTCAGGGGCGCGGCCAGCGTGTGTGGCCAGCTCTTTTTTTTCTAAGATAGAACCCCGACAGTAAACTGTTTGGGGAAAAAGTAATTTTCAATTCGACGGCATGAACCGCATACAGTATCTAAAACCTACCAACCCTTGAACCCCTGGAGGCCCACGCCGCTCTCTCAGCGAGGCTGGGACCCAATGCTTGAACCAAGTTTGCAGTTTGGGGAAAAATAGGCCTCAAGCTTAAATTGTTTAGTACAAGCATGTTTGGATTCGATATGCTTGGATACCTTCAACATCCTTCAACAAGAATTGACATCTAGTTGGCAGCTGAATCTTCTTTTGGCCAAGAGTTATAGTTATACTGTAGTTATTGACTACACAAACTCCTTAGGAGTCTGGCATAGTCTGTCGCAAAAAGTGTAACTGCCAATAATTACTGTAACGTTTCGGGCCACGACCTAAATATGCAACATTTGGAGGATCATAAGGAGGCGCTGCTGCGCTACTGGAGAAAGATCTTCCCTAAACAAAAAAAAGGTGAAACAGCAGCTGCTGCTACCTCTGCGTCTCAAATCGCAATCACACCAGCCAAATGCTGGACAAAGTGGGATGGGATATTCACTACTTCCTGGTTCGGCAAGCATACTTCCACCAGCATTGCGTCACGGGGAACATCATCGGACTGGTCACACCCTTGAATCCGGGCGGGCACCCAACCATCGGCACCCCCACGATATACCATGACTGCATCTTCTGGCGAAAATCGCCGGCGGACCCGGTCATAAGCGACATCATGCACAAGAAATGGACCTTCTAGAGCGTCGGTGCTTCCAACCAAGGGAGATTCATCCTGGTCAACGAGTTGTAGCAGGGCCTGTGACCGAGAAATGCTGGAAATCGTAGCCTTTCGCCACATCTGGATTTTCTCTCGAACTGAGAGGGAGGTATGCGCAGTCTGCTGCAGGCCAATGTACAGATAGAAAACTGGCTCGTCCACTTGGAATGCTGGATGTAGCAAGCTGCAAGGCACCTTCAAAAAAAGCAACAAAAACCTCGGCTAGATGCCGCGACTACACACAATTACACATATATATATATATAATGTTACAATAATAACTTATAAGTACCTGAAGCATATGCTGTTGCCAAAATGAAAGCAAATGCAAGAGCAAACCAACATTTGTCAGCTTCAGCCCTCACCTGTTGCCGTAGCTGGTGCTTGGGTCCAACAAGCACATCGTAGTGGGCCTCAGCAGTGTCCGGGAAGTAAGCATGGCCAGAGATCCTGCCTGGCCATAGTGCCTGATGTTGTTTGGACCAGTAACTCACTGGATCACCATGCTCAAAAACTCCATGAAGTTCATCGTCCAGTTGCGGCAAAGCCTCCAGTTCCGAAGGAAAGCGTTCAGAGGAGGGAGCCAAAGGAGACTCTGCGTTCAACTCCTCCGCTTCCACACTAGAGGCAAATTTCCGTAGTTCCTCCTTTGTAGAGTTCTGTGTTGCTTCCCTCTCCACAGTCTGCACTTTTGTCTGAGGAGCATCCAGGTTCAATCGCACGGAGCGATGGCCCTGCAAATGTGGTATTTGAGGCAGAAGCTTTTTAGGATCAACGTCCCAGCGCACAAGCGCTTTTTTCGAAGTGAAAGACGCTCCATTCTCGATGTCATGTTCACTCTTCTCAATTTGCTCAACTTCGGATCGGGTGAAAGTCACTTCGATTGTTCCTCCCCTCTGAGCCCTGATCTTTGTTTTTCCAGCTGCCGGAGTGTGCACTCGTCGTGACATCCACACCCCGGTGAGGCAACAAACAATGAATGCAGTCGCACCCATGATTGCGAGAGCTGCTCCATAAGCTTCCACATCGAGATTCTGGTCAGATGCATCGATAAGCAAGTCAAAAGGAATCCTTTGCACCACGGCGAAGAGCGACAAATGACTTGATAGGCACCAGGTGCCATTGTCAGCCACTCCTGTGATTTGTCCGGCCGTGTTGTTTGCCAAGTGCAGCCCATCTGGAGACCAAACATTTTGGATCAAATCAAAGGACGCACAGTAGTCCCCTTCGACGGGTGCATCTTCTTTGATTCGAAAGCTTAATGGCTCCAGAAGATCTGAGATGTTCACAATCTCCACAGCTCCAGCCACTTCCTTCACAAGGGAAATGTCCAGCACCCTGGAATTGGCCAGCACTGTCGTATCACTGGGGCCACCTCGAGGCATAGACTCAGAGATGTTCCTGCCGACGCTTAGCAAGACCAGCATCAAATTGCCCTCAACCTGGCCAGGTCGCAATGTGAGCCACCACAGTCACAAGCTTATACTGTTTTACTATGTTTTATTGAAACTCAAGAGCAGTTGCATTGTCTTGCAATGTCTTGCACATGTTTAAACTCGGAATTGTCAGCTTGAGTGATACAGTGATACATATAGTGATACCCACCGGCCTCAGCATCAGCGATTAAAAAGGCAGGCAAATGAAGCAGCAAAGAGCTGGAATCGTTATTGCTTTCACCACCAGAGGCACTGAATGTGAACACCAAGGACTGATCTGACTGGCCAATCTTTTCTAATTTGACCACAGTAACTTTTCCAGCAGGCGTCTCGAAAACGGCAGATTCTTCTTGCGAATTGAAAGCAGCAAGGGCACTCTCAAGCGTAGCAATCACTACAGAACCTTGCGGATTGCCACCGTCAACAGCAGCCGGAAGCACAACGGTTTGCTTCAATGTGGTTGTGCTGGTGCTTGTAGTGCTACTGCTCGTGGAGCTAGTGCTGGTGCTGCTACTTGACGTGATAGAGCTGCTGCTAGTGCTGGTGCTGCTGCTACTCGTCGTTGTTTGACTAGTCGACGTGCTACTGCTCGAGGTTGCGGTTGTGAATGTCGACGTGGTCATTGTTGTGGTGGTTGTGCTGCGAGTTGACGAAGTGCTGGTCATCGTGGTGCTGCTGCTGGTGACAGAAGTCTCTGTGGTGCTGCTGGTGGTGACAGAAGTCTCAGATGTGGTGCTGCTGGTGAAGGTAGTGCCTGTGCTGCTGCTGGTGGTGAAAGAAGTCCAGGTTCTGCTGCCGGTTGTGCTAGTCAAAGAAGTCTCTGTCGTGCTGCTTGTGTTTGTAAACATAGTGGTGGTGGTGATCGTGGTTGTAGTACTGACATTTGCATTCATGACACTTGCTTCAGTGCGGTATGTTTGCAGGTCGTCAAGTCGGGTCCCTTTCCAGCCACCAAACACATACATAGCACTCATTTCTGAATCCCATACTGCTGAGTGAGACATGCGCACTTCTTGTTCTGGGCCAGTGGTCAGTTCTACCCAATTGTTCCCCTCCCTGGAGTAAGCATGCAAGTCGTTGAGGTAGCCATCATTGGAGCCACCGAAGACATACATTCTCATCACTGATGCGCCCCAGATCGCCGTATGCTTGAAGCGTCCGTCCGGGAGAGTGCCACTGGGGAGCAGCTCTGTCCAAGAGTTGTCCTGGCTGGAATAGAAGTGCAAGTCATTTAGGGAAGACCCATCATAACCACCAAAGATGTACATCCCCGCCACAGCATCATCCCATACTGCGGTGTGACCGTCGCGAGCAGATGGTAGAATGCCTCCGGGTGACAGCTGGGTCCAGGAATTATCCTGGCTGGCGTAGAAGTGCAAGTCGTTCAAAAATGACCCCGCATTTCCACCAAATATGTACATCCGAGCATTTGCAAGGTCCCACACAGCTGCGTGCTCCTCGCGAGCCTGCGGCGCAGAACCCGAAGGGAAAAGCTCTGTCCAGGAATTTGACTGCCTGGAGTAGTAGTGCAAGTCATCAAGAAAGTTCCAGCCTTGGTACTGCACATGGCCGGCAAACACATACATCCCGGCAGCGGATGGATCCCATACTGCAGTGTGCTCACTGCGAGGACTTGGTTCAATGCCATTGGGTGACAGCTGCGTCCAGGAGCTGGTCTCCCTGGAGTAGCGATGCAGGCCTGTGCCACCATCACCACCAAAGACGTACATGAATGCAGTCTCTGCATCCCAAACTGCAGTGTGAGAGGAACGGGGAATTGATGAGATGCTAGGCACCTCCCAGGCTGCCTTATTCAAGGCAAAGTTCAGGCCGATGACGAACCCGAACAACATGGAAGTCACACCAGCGCCGCTGAGTCTATTGTCCTTGAGCCAACAAAAGCCAAATGCAGTGCTGGTGAAGCACATTCTCACGAGCCAAATCCAAGTGCATCAAGTGTTGCCATGCTGGCATATCATGGCCACCCTTCTGGACAAATGCGCTGTTTCTCAAGTGTTCTGCTGCGAAAAGCATCAATTGCGACGCGGAACCTGGACAGTCTCAAACCTCTGTGCTCCAAGGTCAGTTTCTGCCAATTCAGCACTACACACCATACAAACACAACAACCGCTGCTGCAATTGTGCTATCAAAACATATCACACTCTATAAATCATAATGAAGCTTGGGTCCAAGGGGGGCATAGTTGTATTTTTGATTGATGCATTGTTTGGCAGCTTTTGGGCAGCTTGCGGGAACAAAACATACCTCAGTGTGGAAACACAGAGATTGAATCTCGTCCTTTTCTAGGGTCTCGAAGTGGGACTGGCCCTTGCTATCCCTCACTATACTAACTCACCAGCATATTTTGGCCGAGAATTCCCGACAGAGCCGCAGCAAAGGCTGGTAGGCTGCTTGCTCGTTGCACAGACCCCCAGCATCAAGGCATCCGCTCAAGCATTCAAGCATCATATGCACCTGGATTTGATGGGCTAACCGGGCTCGACGTGTTTTTGGCTAGCGGAGTTGCCAGTCACAAGGATATCACTTTTCTCTCGCAGAGTCCAAATGGATTGACCCATCATAATTTCAACAGGTCAATCTTGGCTCCTGAAGCTGTACATCAAGCTACAAGGATGTTCTCTTGAATCCTGACTTTGGCACTTGAAATGCATTACATTAATCAATTCCAAACCAAGTTATATATATATAATCATATCTATATGTAATATTATCACTAATATTATTAATATTCTCATTTATCACATCTCCTACAACTGTGAAGCCAACCGGATTTGTCAAAAACAGTCTATCTGGTCTAGCACTTTGTATGTGGTCTTTGGCTGCCGCTCATGTCAGAACCAGTCTCCAGCCTTTCTTAGGCTCTTCCCCTTAGCTCGCTACAGAATGAAAGTGGAAACGTTGCTCAGGATCTGAGCCAGTCTGAGCTGCAGAAGGTTGTTTCATGTTGTTCTTGAATGTTCGATTGCCCTGGACCCACTGAAACAGCTTTAGGACTACGCCGATGACTGTTGCGCATCTTCTGACCGAGTGCGGATTGGACTTCTGTTCTTAGAATTGCAAGAAGGTAGTCTTCCTCATGGCATTTGGCATTAAATCTACCACCAACACTGTTAAATCATGGCACCAAGCGACCTTGTTCTGCCTCTGCTGCTTGCTGGGCTTGCTGCGTTTGCAGCGCTTGCTGTCTGTCCAGCAGCCTGAGAAGGAAGGTTGCAGCCGCACTTGGGTTATGTGCTGCACAATGTTTACGCCAATGTACGCTTGAGAAAAAGAAAGAAACAAGAACAGGCCAAGCGCACCACCTATTGAAAAAAAACAGGCGGTAAATGTGAGTTTATATACCAGGAGGACCATTGTAGCCGGTAGATTGGTTCACCTTGCACCCAAAGAAACTTGACTGGACTGGAGTGTGTCATCTCTCTAAGGCGCGTGGGGGCACAGGGTGTAGATCTGAGAATCAAAGCGCCCGTGCCTGAGCCGCAAAGTGGCATGTTCTGATGTGTTTCCAAACAGGCCTGCCCGTCTTCGAGCTTTTCAGGCAATCCTGACCTAATCCCGACAATGATCATCAAGTTGATTCATCATCAAACAGGTCCTTTCGTAGCTCGATGTAGCCTGTGGGGGCTCTTGGGATCAATCAAATGCCAGGCAACCCTGGAGGCCGAAAGCATTAGTTATATACTGTATCGTGTCAACCCAAAAGTTCTGAGACGGCGATGGTTGCAAAGGGAAGATTCCGTAGGGCTGAAGGCTCTCGACAGCGTCCTCAAACGACAAGGCAGCTCCAGTTGCTGGTTCATGCGAAGAAAAAGACTCATCGTGAAATTTGTACAAAGTATGCAATTCTTAGAGCAATTAACAATTTTGCCGCAATTATTCTGAATTCATTCCTGAGCATGCAAAATTGCACTTGTCAAATCAACAAGTGTTGGGGGTAGTTGTAGATATTGTAGATTTGAGATGTGCGGAATCAATCAATAGGGTGACAAGAATCGGCATCGCGAATGGGATTGTCTTCCAGGTTCAAGGTCTGCAGCGTAGTGTTTCTGGTCCAAATCCAAAAGGAAGCACCTGGCAAGCTGCTTGAAGTAGAAGCTTGCTGCCCGAAGCCTTGTGCTGACGTCCTTGTAGGGAGGGTAGCTAAGCTGTACGTTCTTCCAACTTGAATTGTCAAAAAATTGCAGCTCCATCACAATGAATCGAAAGCCTGAAGGGCCCCTCAACCCAGCCTGCATCATCCTTGAGTTCCTCACAAGTGTCCAAATGGGGGGCTGGCCAGTAGCGCTCTCCTAGGTTTGCAGCATCCGCTTGATAGTCACCACTGAAGGGGCGGTTATCAACCGATATGTAGTTCAAAGGTTGAAGGACTTTTTGAATCTTGCCATCGGTTGTCTATCGAGGAGCTCAAGTTCTGAGGCTGGCACTTCCATTTCCATCCTTCGGTGGTGCTCCGAAAGCTTTCTTCTTCTTTTCGAACTCCTGTGAGCTCACCAACTGCACTACCAAATGGTGGAGAAAATCATACGACCATGGGCAAGAAGCTTAGTACTGTAGTAACAAATGTAATACTACTAGTAGCTAGAAGCTACTAGTAGCAGGGGCTTCCCATTGGGCGTCTTGGAACAGCCCCACGTCAACAAGCAGCATGCCACAGCCCGGCTGTTGGGTCCTTCTGCTGGTCCTGCCAGGTTCACAGGCTGTTGAAAAGAACTCTTGTGAAACATGTGTGTGAAAGTGTTGATCTTAAACCTGAGTCTGAATCTGCGCATGTTGCTTTGGACTTGCCTTCAGACTCTTCAAGATCTTGTCCGCCACTGCCTGTGACTGCTCTTTAAACGTAGCCTATTTTTGCTTATCAAAATCAGCTCGTGCCATGGTTGTGCGCTATGCAGCATGGGACAAGGAAAATGCATTGCCAAGGAGCGGCTGACATGTTCATGATAGCTCAAACTGCTGGACAGTGCAGTGGCTTAAGCATCCCCAAAGCAATCCGACCAGGATCCTACATGATCCTACGGGCCTTGTCAGTGAGGTGGGTCACACCCAGAACTTGGCAAAGAATTTGCAGGCCCACATGGGTGACATAATTTCCTCAGCGCATACTCAGCACTCAGCGATCGTCAGCTCCAGGTTGCGGGAGCAAGCGTCCAGTGAAAGGTCAGCGCGCCACGCATGCCAAGCATCTCCCGAGCCCTAGGAATTGCAAACCAAAGTTGAACTCAAGAGCCTGTGCAAATTGTGCGAGTACATCTGCTGCAAAAGTTGCTACAAAGAATGGCAAACAATTGTTGACGTTTGCATTGAAAGAAGAGTGAGGCTGGAAGCAAGTACCTAACTGCCAATTGCTTCAACGGCTCAACTGAAAATTGCCAAAGCCTCTGCGAGGTACTTGACACTGCGGTCACAAATCTTGTTTCCTCAGACGGGGCCAGCGGGACAAGTACTCAGTACCTGGGCTTGTGATGATTTGTGCAGCTGAGTATCTTTGGAGCATCTCTACTGTAACCGAAGACTTGGGGATGCTCTTTGGAAGATCGGGCTCTGTCGGGTGCTGACTCTCCATCTCTTGAAAAGGACCGACCGAAGACTTGGAGGTACTTCGAGGTACTTCGAGTCCGAGAAGCCCCAAAGATTCAGTGCCCTCAAATGCGGCGATGGTGACGCTAAGGCTGCGCTGATGGCCTGAAGCTTTGACGAGGCAAACAAGGAAGCTTCCGGTATTTTGGCTCTTCCAACAGAATTGTTGCAGTCCCGCTCCACCATTCTGTCTGCAAAGGGTGGATGGCAATCCAGCATCCAAACATATAACTCATGGCATCTCATGGCTGTTGATGCCTATGACCTGCCTATGATCGACCGTTCTCTTCCCAGTTGCCTGCACTTCTGGCCGGCTGAGGTTGCAACACCTCGCCGAGACGATTCCGGGCGCTATGCATGTGACCAAAGAACCATGAGCATACCGTATTCTTGTCACTTGTCCCCATTCGAAGTAAATCAAAATCGTTAAAGCCACGGTGCAAACATGGAAACGCAATGAAACGCAAACGTATACAAATTAAATGTGGAAAACGGTTGCCTGCGGCCTGAGGCACAAGATAAACTTTGTCTGAGCTGGATGTGAAGCATCAGGCCTACCCTCGTCACACAGTGAGTGCAGCCCGTGTTTGGTACCTTGTTGCATTGTAGTAACACAATTAAGTAGCACCTTTAGCCTTTAGCTTCTTGTGGAGCTCAAAACCATTCCCCTCAGCATCCGCCTAACCCGCATTAATCCTCATTATAGGATTATATATATAAGCCTGCTCCCACAGCTAAAGAGGCTGTCCCGCACCTGAAGGACAACATCTCCAAAGGACTTGTTTTGTCCAGAAAAGCCTCAGCTGAAACATGTCACCCAATTTCACGTCTGGAATTCCACAGCGGATGCAGTGAACACTTGGAGACTGATGAAGCCAATGTAGTCAAGAGGCGGCAAAGGCATTGCCAATCTCATCCGAGAATTCGGGCGGCTGAGCTGGAGGAATGAGCCTACCCGCACCAAGAACACAAAATCTGCTACGTTTCCAATGGCGTGCCTGCCTTCTCTGTGCGTGACTGCTAGTTGCTTTATCATCAACAACCATCGTGAAACCATCAGCTTCTTGGGAGTGTGCCTCTCTTCAGTGGATATCTCGTCTCTTGGCAGGGCTTCCAGCACCTCCTCTCAAGTAAGATTCTTGTTGGGAAAAATGCTAGGCAGGGGGAGGTGATGGTAACATAGATTCACACCAGCGCTGGTCCTGCAGTTTTGCAAGAGGCACGAGGCCATCTCCTGCACCGTGGTCGGAGTCTAGGATGTTGAAAATCGGCTCACAATCCTCACGCAGTCAGTGTTGCTGCAATTCCATCAACCAACCACTGCCCCCTTCTGCCGTGCAGTACTTCAAGAATAGCACGTGCTCATCTACACCTGGACTATGGCACAATACCAAATCATATCGTTACCAAGGATCTAAGACATCCATGTGGAAGGTATCATAGAAAATTGATATCCAGGTCTGCAAATCCATGGGCCAAATTCTTGCAGTACTTGGCCGGCCAGGCACCACCTTCTCGGAAAGCCTCGGTGAGTGAAAGCAATGCCCAATGAAGGAAGCTGTGGACAGGCGGATTTCATCGTGTGACCCGTGACATCCTGTGACCCAACCAGTTGGTGTACGCAGTTCTTGCGACGCAACTACTCGCAACTCCCCCTCAGTTCTTGCGATGCACCCAGTGTATCTCACAGCGTCTCACCAATACTAGTAGGGGCCTGGGAGAAAAGAAGCTACTAGGGGCTCCTGGCCTTACTTCTAGGAAGAAGGACGCTACTAGGGGCTCCTGGCATCGCTACTAGGAGCATTCTCACTAGTAACAAAAAGCTAGGCCATCCTCTCGCCACGCATCGCCATGCATCGTGGCCGAAAGCCAAGTGACTGCTGGATTGCTTTCTGGATACTGTCTCCTGGCGAGAAGGTTGGCCAACCAAACGCAGAAGGGGCAGGAGGAAGTAATTAACTTGCAAGCAGGACCGCTTTTGGAGCAGGCATCGCCAAAGCGAATCTGTGTCATTAAGTTGTCACCCTGTCTTGCACAGCACATGTCCCACCCTCCTTGGAGCATCTCCAACTCATCCCGGAAGCTTACCAAAGATCTTCGAGCACGACGGTGTTCCAGCTGACGCTCAGCCTGACATCAGTCTTGGCACGAAATTACTACGAAAGGACTTCTGTTTGAGCTGGCATGAAACACCGTACCAATCACTGGAATTTGGAGCCTAACTAAAATGTTCAACAGGATGGCAAATGCCTGCTCGGAGAACTCTGCTGATAATCGTAGGCTTAGAACTCGCATGCAGTGGGCGACCCCCGGGATGCTTACGCTCTCGCCGAGCGAGCGCCTCGTCGATCTCGGACCAATGATGGGCTTCTTTCACTGTAGCACGGCTTGACTCCTCCAGGGGCAGCTCCACGCGGTTCCACTCCACATGGAGGGTTTGCACCTGGGAAGCTCTGGAAAATGTGTCTGAACCCTAAACATTGACTCGAAGCTCGGTCGGGTTCAAAAGAGTGTGCCCTTCTGTGGATAGCCTCAGGCACACAGAAGTTTCGGAATATGTAGAGATATGTAGAGTAAGCATGTCGGGTGCAAAATGGCAGAAAAACTGCAACGTGGCTTGGACAATCCCCATTGAGAGGCCACTCCGAAGAAGACCCCTCTCTTTCTATATGCAAAGGCACGGCAGTTTCGCTCGTGAAGGCTTGGCGCAGCAGCGTCAGCAGCTCCACGTCCAAAGCGCAGCCACTCAGGCGCAGCGAGGACAAGTGCCTCACATGCGCGAGGCGCATTTAACATGCTTCAACCTCACCTGGTGCGAGTGACTCGTAGAGTTTCAAGCTGTGTAAAGCAGAAAGCATATATAGATGAGGTATCCTACAACATTCTATAACTATAAGTTATACTGAATGGCTTGGCCATTTTAGCAAGGGGCAGAACAAGCACTCCCACAGAAACAGGAAAATTGGGTGGACCGGTCTCACTGAGTTCTGCAAAGCCACACACATTGTCGTCGAGTGAAAAAAAGACGTTGGAAACTCTCGATCATCCTCTGATGAAGAAGTGCCATATCTTTGAATGTTTCTCGCCACAGCCCACAGGGCATCAATGGATGGATGAAGACCCGAAGAAAAATCAAGTTTATGAATATTTGAGACATCTCGAATACTGAAATCTATATCCAATGTTCAAAGTCTACAATGCGTGTAGAACTAGGCTTGTGCGATTCAGGGCCAGAGTCCAGAGTATCTCTCTCAGCTTGAACTGTCACCGTCCGGCTATATGGTTGCAAAACGTTTGGTCAGCGTTTGTCCTTGAGTCAAGCTGCAAAGAACTTGGTAAGACTACCTGGAGCATCAGCACAGAGGCGCGATCCAACAAGCAGCTTTGCAGATTCAACTCTTTCGGGGGCGGCAGGCCCTGCAGGCAAACGCCACGAAGAAGTGTTTGTGTACCAGGTGCCACTCCAGGGACCCCCCCGCAAAATGGTAGGCTCCCTCTGCCACACTGAAGGCCTATCCGGAAAAAAAGGTTGCTCAGGAGAAGCTCAAACATGGTTTTGGCTTCATAAACCGCTGTTCCAGCTCTGCATCGGTTTCCTGGGTTTTGCTGCCAGCCTGCGGTTCATGTGCGCTGGCTCAAGACATGGACCTTAGCCTTCATGAAATGTTCGAATTAAACACTGAAACACACTGGGGCTGATGTAGAATTGTAGAATCACTACCTGTGGGGGCTTCATGAGGGGCAATCTTTTTCGGCTTGTGTTTGTTTCTTTACCAGCTGCAAAGCTGGTCTTGGGCTTTCCTATTCGCGTGTACCGGCAAATTGACGGTACCCATATCAAAACCATCGAAACAGTCCCATAAAACTTTGCACCATAAAGGATTTCTCCCAGGGAAAACTGTGCCCAAAGGATCACAGGACGAAGCTCCGCCCTGAAAGGAGAACTTGTGAGGCCAAAGTCCGGAGCCACGAAGTTCTGAGTGTCCAAAGTGGTCATGCGCACCCAGATGCGCATCTAACCACCCCAACAAAGGCAGGAGGCATTGGATTTTACATTTGACCCCAAACATCCCCAAATACACCAGTAACAAGTGCATTGCTACTAGTAACAATTTCATTACTACTGACAAGAAGCTACTAGTACCGATGCCCTTGTTCCTAGTAGCGATGCACTTGCTACTGGTAGCGTCGCCTTGGCGCTGGGCATCAGCTCATGATGACCCACCAAGCCCAGCTGGCCACAAAGCAAGGCATAGTCGTCTCGCAGGTGGCCATTCGCACGGAAAGCCTCCCAGCCCATTGGCACAAAAGCCGTGCCAATGGTGCACGACCAAGGGGGGAGTAGGGGAAATACCTTGTTACTAGTAGCGATGCCCTTGTTACTAGTGGTTATGCCCCGCCTGCACTACCTCAGGGCTAAGGCGCTCAACATGATTGTTGATGCCATAGACCCATGCCTTCCGTTTTGCAGGCTCCTGGCTTCAAATCAGCAGGCAAGAGCTGAGAAGATTGTCCATTCAAAGGTTTTGGCTCACAAAAAAAGCTAATAAGATGAAACCATGGAATTTGATATACACTCCCCAAAAATAACGTATCCCTGGCAGCGGAGCAGTTTTATCACCATTCAGAGTTGTTTATATAAATACTTGGATACTTGGAGTTTCTTTCACAACTTGCATCAACTTGCTGTGTATGCTCCTCCTCCTCTTCCTCAGGAGGGTCTGGTGGAGGTGGCTCGTCCTCCTGAGATCTTCAGCTCTATGGGATCCAATCGCCATTTGTCACAAACCAGGATGGACCATACTTTATCATACTTAATCATAAGATTCTAGGAGGACTATTAAGAGGACTACCACGGCCATTTGCACGATTGTCTACACCATGGGGTCCCAGTGTTTTCCACGATAAAACTCGAAGAATTGGGTCCTTCGCCTTAGCTCCCTTCTTTGGCATGGCTTGAGCCGAAAGCAATCACTCTCAGCGAAAAACAAATTAAGAAGTCAGCAATGAACAACAAAATGTCAGCAGCGGGCGGCAGGGATGGGATGGAATGACAAGGTGGGTGAGATGCCCTGCGCCTGCCGACTGCGGAAGCTTGCTGGCAATGTGCGCCATCTGCACCTAGGCCTACTTTCAGATAGCATCAGGTTCATGACCGCGCCACTCCGATGGAATATCAGCAGCACGAGTTATGTTTGGTTGAATACTTAGATACTGTAGATACTTAGACATGTACTCCGGTCATTGTGAACTCTTATGCAGGGCTCGAGTGCAAAATTGCCAACGGTAGAATGCTGGGCGACTGACGCACAGGCAGGCACCAAAGAAAATTAGTCTCAAACGGTTTACAACCTCACCTCTCTCCACTGTACGGGGGAGCAACTTGCAGCACGCAAGCATTCCGCATGCCAGTCAATTGATGGGTCACCTCTCGAAATGTATTTTTCGCCTAAGCACATTGCACATTTGGAGAAAAACTGGCTTGGCCACGTCCGGTTGTGCATATATATACATATATATATTATGGCTTTGCCATGGTTGCAATCTGAACCCAGTCATTTGGGGAGCACCTGCTCATTCACTGCGAGTATGTGCGATTCCAACCTTTCTCAAGATACTTTCTGATCCGCATGCACTCCTCCAAGCTCATGCAGGACGATTGGACCAAACACTAAACATGTTGCAATCAATAGGCAATCATAGCAGCAATATAACTTAACCACAAATGCAATCATACCACCGTCACCTCTCTTTCCACGCCTTCATCAATTTGGCATTCTCGTGCTGAAGCACTACCATATCCAAGGCCCTTGCATTCCCTTTCAGTTGCATGATGCCCTGGCAGAACTCTGAGATAGTAATGAGACCATCTTCGCCGGACAAAATGTCAAACAGTGGACCGCAATCACGGATGGTGATCCTCAGTCGCTTGAAACATGGCATAAAACTTCATCGCACCTACTTCATCAGCCAGAAATTACCACCATTGTTCACTAGAAAAAGGAGAACGATCTCAGCAGGATTGCAGGATTGCAATGCACGGCCCTGCTATCTACTGGTGGGCAACTTCTATGAGGAACTCTTGGGCCTGTAGTCAACTACGGCCTAGGACCTAGTTTAGAGATGTTTAGAGTCAATTTAGCCCAGCATCTCTAGATACCTCAAGTATAAATCCACACTTGGCAAAGACATAGCCGCCACAAACTCTTCAGGTGTAAGATTTCCATCCTGGGTTGGACAGGTCATTCGCAAGAATCTGATTCTTGATAACTCTTGGAGGTCAGCCTGAACACAAACGTCACAAAGCAAGCCTATACATGCATGTAAAGTCATGTTTATCTCAGTAGGCCAGCTGCCCCATCGTCGTCCACAAGATGGAAGAGTTCTTCCAACTTCTTTTGATATTCCAAGGCTTTTCTTCTGGAGTCTTCAATAACCAATTCGGCGTCATTGGCTGCTGTTGATAAAGTCTCCTTGATAAATAAAGCGGTTACAATTCGGACAGCTGCAAATACAACCTTAGATGGCAGATTTCAGATTGCACTGCAGATTGATTGCAACAAACTAGGGGCCACCTCGAACAAGGCTGAGTGGACGTTGAGTCAAAAGTGTCTGTCACGAGAAATGTTCACTTCTCTTTGTGCCAGGCCAGCAGCAAATACCACATACAACAAGAAAGGGATAGAGTACCAAGGGCTTACCAAATCAACCACCGGGCGGACCAACAAAGGCCAGCCTCCTGCAGCATGGTTCCACAGCCCACGGCTGACATGGTTTCCAAACATGGTTCAAAATTCCAAAAAACGAAACAAGCGGAAGCTGAAAAAGTTTTGTTGCTAGGGAGGTGCGAAGGAGGAGATGGATGGATGGATGGATGGATGGATGGATGGATGGATGGATGGATGGATGG